TATTCAGGAATTTCCTAACAATGTGGCATGTATTCAATATAGTGGCCTTCTGTAGTGTGATGTATGTATTTCTATTCAATTGTAACGTTCCCAGGCTTTTGTGTAGTGTGTGTGGTATCACACCTGTACAGGAGAGAACAACAGGTACAATAATTACCCTATCCATCCTTTTCAGATGCCTTATTTCCTGGGCGAGTTCTGTGTACTTACTAATTTTTTCAGTGCATGTGTTTTGTATATTGTGAGTGTTTGGAATGGCTATGTCTATAATGTATGTGATTTTATTGTGTTTGTCAATCAGTGTGATGTCTGGTCTGTTGTGGTAAATTGTTTTATCTGTGATTATGGCTCTGTCGTAGTACATTTATTATTATTATTATTATTATTATTATGTTGGGTTTAGTGAGTTATATTTGGTTGACACCAGTAGCTGTGTATTATGCTAGACCAGAGTCAAGGCATAGCAACCAAAACAAGACAAAAATTAAATAAGTGTCAGTGTGTGTGTGTCTGTATTCAGGAATTTCCTAACAATATGGCATGTATTCAATATAGTGGCCTTCTGTAGTGTGATGTATGTATTTCTATTCAATTGTAATGTTCCCAGGCTTTTGCATAGTGTGTGATATGACACTTGTAGAGGAGAGGATGATATGTACAAAAAGCACCTTATCCATCCTCAACAGATGTCTTATTTCCTGGGCGAGTTCTGTGTACTTGCTAATTTTTTCAGTGCATGTGTTTTGTACATTGTGAGTGTTTGGAATGGATATGTCTATAATGTATGTAATTTTATTGTGTTTGTCAATGAGTGTAATGTCTAATCTGTTGTAATAAATTGTTTTATCTGTGAAAACAATTCATAGTATATTTTGTGTGTGTTGTTTACCAATACTGTCTGTGGGATGTATTTGTAGTATGATTTGTGGATGTCTAATAATTTGTGTTTCTTTGCAAGCTCTTGATGTATTATATTTGCTACTTGATTATGTAAATAATCTGTCTGTGCCAAGAGCTTGCAACCAGAAGTGATGTGTTGTATAGTTATTATTATTATTGTTGTTTTTTAATGTATTGACACATCCTATGGAATATGTTTTAAATGTGCTATTTGGAACCCATCAACATATTAAACTCCATTAATAAAGTCCATTATTGTTTTGTCTAATATTAGAATTTAGCTACAGATCATGAAAATAGGATGTTCTATAATAAAAACAAACCAGCTGATAGGCTAAGAGACAAGAGAGAGAAAGAGAGAGAATCATTAAATCAGTATAATATAGAAGATAGCTTGTGACTAGTTAAAAACAAATATTTACCTCCAAAGATGGAAGAGGAAAGTGAAGTTCACGATCAAAACGACCCGGTCGACGTAATGCAGGATCGATTGCATCTATTCTATTTGTTGCACCTATAATCACTATCTCTCCCCTACTGTCTAACCCATCCATTAGTGCAAGAAGCGTGGAAACAATCGAACTGTGTATTTGATCCTGACGTGTTGATCTTACTGGTGCGAGACCATCAATCTCATCAAAAAATATAATAGACGGTCGCATAGAATAAGCCTAAAACAAAATAAAAAAACAATATAGACATAAAATTTCAATTAAACATTCTCAATAATATGTAACATACTTGATCAAAAAGCAAACGAAGTTGCCTTTCAGATTCTCCAACCCATTTACTGAGACAATCTGCTCCTTTTCTCATAAAGAATGCAATTCTTCTATCTCCTTGGCTGCATTCATTAGCCAGAGCACGAGCAACAAGAGTTTTACCAGTTCCTAAAAACAATATTTTAAATCAGCAAAAATAATATTTAGGTTTAAACTCTAAAAATATTACCTGGTGGACCATGAAACAGGACACCTCGAGGTGGAGTGATTTTAAATTTTTCAAATACTTCTGGATATAATAGAGGAAATATTATCATTTCTTTGAGAGAACGAATATGATGATCAAGACCTCCTATACTATCGAACATTATCTAAATAATAAAAACATTATTAAAATTATGAATTCCAGTTGTAAACAAACAAACATCCAAAGAATACAGAAATAGAGGCTTACCGACTTATTGATATTCATCGGATCAATATCTGCCAAACTGCAACCAATTCTATTTCTATCTCTAAGGACACCATGCTTTAAATCGTCATCGGTAAAATTCATTGGAAGACATCTAAATCGTTATACAAATTTTTGAGTATTATAAGTTAATTGAAATTATAAAATAAACAAAAAAGACTACTACATTCATTTACCAAATAATATTTACTTGAAGAAACATTACTGGTCAAAATTACATAGTCCTGTACTTAAATTTGATTTATTTATTGGGTAATAAACAAATCAAATTTAAGTACAAGAACCCAAATCAAACCATAATAATAAAAAATATAAATTTGAAATACAATTTTTTATAATAAATGTTTTGGATATCACAACATCTACAGATGCTAAAAAATCACACCTTTACAAAATCCAGCAATGAAATTTACTAAATAATAATGTTTTCGATCAGCTTTACTGATCTTCTTCACTTACAATAGAATAGAATGTGAGAAAAGAGCACAAATACAAAAATTTTAAAATAAATAAATAACAGAAATCACAGTAAAATAAATAACTACAAAAATAAAATAAAAAATAAAAAGTAAAAATAAACAAATAAATGTCTCTTAATAAAATTAACTTTCATTAAAGGACAACCATGCAGTAGATAAGCTGTCTGTATCTCTATGGTAGATGCAACTGGATATATTGTGCACTTTATAAATTTCAAATTTTTCTAGATATCTCATAGTGTGTATATTAGATGTGAGTCTGATGATGGTAGCCTGCTCCCATTGTACTTGTATGTCCTGATGTTGCAAATAAGCTGCCAGTATTATATTATTGAGATTTCTATCAATTGCATGTTTATGTTCTTTGAGTCATTGTAAATTATGACCAGTTTTGATTTGAAATATTGGTTAATTAATGGGATGGAGTAAATCTCCATGATCAAATTACAGTTATATGGTTTCTTATCATTCCTTAAAATTCTGAAGATCATTCGGTTGTGTCGATATACAACCTCAACATTATTAGCTCTGGCCACTTTTTCATGTATACTTCTTAACCTGTCCTATGTTGTTCCTGAAAATATTCATGTTGACCTCATTGACCTGTGTGGGCAATCCCGAATATTTTCGTGTTTACATTGGAACGTTTTTGATATTAGATGTCGCTATGCATCACAATTTTTATATTAAAACGAACTTTTAAAATATAATTTTTTTTTGTTTCTGTATTATTCAATATATTTATTTTGTTTGTGCAACATAAAAAAATAATTTTTTAAAGCTTAACACTGACGAAAATTCAACATGGCATCACAGGCAACAAATAAAAATTTTAACATCAAATAGGTTAAAGATGGGATATAATGTAAAACCACTCTTTGTTTCTGGTCTACAGATGTATGCTGATGTTTTGATGTTTGAAATGTTGTGATCAATTTCTGTATTATTTCTAATGGATAACCCTGTTGCTCACAATAAACAATTAACCGGAGTGCAAAAGATCGATATTTGCAAACGTTTTTGAAGCCCCTTCTGGGCTCTTCCTCAGGCTTCTTTTTTTATTTATTCAAACAAGCTGGCTGTTAATGTTCAAATATCTATCGAAAGTCATTCAATTTGGGATACAATATGTGCAGGCATTCCAAGATGTTTAAATAGTATCAAACAATACAATGAGTTCAACACTTTCAATACGATTGCAAATTAAATATTATTGTCTAGTAGGACCTGCCATGCCATCAAAAAGCATATCTCCTCTTTAAAATTAATGCAGGTGGTTCTGCATCCTGCCTTAAAAATTTCAATTGCTTCCAGCCATTTGAGATGTTCTGGGTGCAGGATTGTGGGCTGCAGTGAAGTCCACTGTAATATCCAGGTCCGTTGCATAAGTGGAGAGGGCCATTGTACCCCTATTATGTCGTATGTTGGATTTATGTTCCTTTTCTTGACCCCCACTGAATATTTGATGGAGCCAACATACAGCAATTCCCTATCCCATCTTCTGTCTCTGATAGGGATGCTATAAATGCCCAGTAGTCTGTCGGGGTTAGGATGGTCTTTTCCATTATGCAGTATATTGAAAATGGATGGGCATCTCCTGTAGGCAATATTGACTTGATGACTCTTGGCAATTGTGATGTACAATGATTTTAAATGAGGGTTAAAAGTGAGGGGGATACTCTCCTTATCCTCTTCATGTTTATCTTTTGGTATTTCGGTCAAACTGGTGGATGCTTCTTGCGTACGTCTGTGGCATTGACATAATCTTTGTATAAGGTAACCATGGGCCATGGCTATCTCTTCTATATTTCTTACTTCCTGTGCTAGCACTTGTGGAATGGAAGAATGTGTGAACGCTCTTCTAACTAAGGCCTGAATGCTGTTATTTTGTATGGAAAGGGATCACACGACCCTCTTGGAATATAAGTGGAGATAGCACTTGGTTTACGATAAACAGACGTGCATATGTCCACACTTGGACATAGATATCACGATTGAAGAGTCAGAGATATGCACGTTAAAGAGATGTGCCTTTTGATGGTATGGCAGGTCCTACTAGACAATAATATTTAATTAGCAATCATATTGAAAGTGGCGAACTCATTGTATTGTTCGATACTATTTAAACATCTTGGAATGCATGCGCATATTATATCCCAAATTGAATGACATTTGATAGATATTTGAACATTAACAGCCAGCTTGTTTGAATAAATAAAAAAAGAAGCCTGAGGAAGAGCCCAGAAGGGGCTTCAAAAACGTTTGCAAATATTGATCTTTTGCACTCTGGTTAATTGGTTATTATAAGAAGATTATATCTAGAAAAATTGGAAAGTTTAAAGCACACAAAAAGACTGGTTACATCAACCATACAGATGCGGAAAGCTTATCTACCGAACGGCAGTCCTTTTATGAAATGTAATTTTATTAACAGATATTTATTCATTTATTTTTACTTTATATTTTATTTCTGTAGTTATTTATTTNTCTACACTAATCCGACTCAACATTTCCAAAATACGTATATTTTTTCGTAGTTTTATAGGAATCGTAATTATAGGGGGGTCGACTGTATAATAAATTTTATATTTTGTTATGTTAAAAACTGCCTTTTGTTTGTCCACAGATCTCTGCCTACTTACCAATGCATTCCCCACTCAATTTGCCCTCCTAGCCATCCAACGACCTTGAGATTGGGTTTTACCAGCCTGTGCAGATTAAGTGGTCAGAAGGGAGTAACCCCTGACCCCCTGCTTATCTCACAACATTATTGCAAATTATTTTTATGAAATTATGTTACTATATTTAGTAACTTGTTTCAAACGTCAACAATGTCTCAAATTTACTTTTTGGAACAGAGTGAAACAATGAAACAAATTCAAACATGGCTTTACACCTAATGTAAAAATTTCAAAATCATGGAAGATCAGGACTAATGTTTTCAATCACTTCAGATCTTCTTCACATCCTATGTTTCCAAATTGAAATTTGAAAATCTGTTCTAGTGATTGAAAATGTTAGTCTTGATTTTCCATGATTAAGATATTTACTGGAGTTATTTTTAGTTCTTTAGAGTGTTTTGTTTCATATATTTACACTCCAGTCTATAGAGCTCTGTATAATTTGAACTTTACATCTAAAGCAAATTTTTTAAAATATTTTTGCTATGTTAGAACATAGAAAAAATATTTTTTTAAAAATCAGAACAGTTTTAAATTAAATACAAAAAATATCTGTAGGAAAATATAAATGTATGACAACATGGCATATTCAATGTATACTATAATAGTTAATAAATAATTAATTTAATGATAGAAAATCTAAAAGTAAAAATTTCAATAAATGCATGCTTAGCAACTTTTTCTCTAAGAGCTGTCAAAATATTTAAACAATCATTATTTAAAATAATTATGTTAATTTAAAATTACTATACAAAAATTACAAATGTAATTAATGTAAATGTATAGCATGTCTCTTAAGGTACTTACTCATATCTGTAATATATTTTGTTCCAGCAGGAAATAAGTTTTCCAACAATTCAATGGATCTAAGCAGAGTGTTTTGAAGTAATGGTTTTATAAATGACATTAGTGGACGAACTGGAGAATAAGAAGATCTTTGAGTAACTGGAATAATTTTTCTCATAGCTCTATAAAAATCTTGTGGTAAAATCTACAACAAAAGCAAACAGTTTTTAATTGATAAAATTAAACAACTTAATTAAGTCATCATTTTAAGTCATACAATACTTTATTGACAATCAAAATATACAGTACATATGAGCACAAGACAAAAAACTAATCTTGTGGTGCCTCTACCTGAATGGAATTGACATCTAACACTAATTTCTGACGTGATTTATAAATCTGAGGATAATGCCGACGGAGACACATCAGAGCCGCTTCTGTGCACAATGCCTTCAGATCAGCCCCACAATAACCAGAACTTTCCAAAGCCAGTTCATAAGCAAATTTCTCAGAGAGTGATGGATTCCACTCTTTTGTATGAATTTTCAGAATTCGACATCTAGCCTGAAATTTAACAATTTTCAAATGTAAATTTTCTGTTTCTTAGTAAATAAACAAATTAAATAATTATCAACTTTTTAAATAATTATTATTCTTTTATTTGAAAATATGTAAATTATATTTTCAATTTTCAAATAATAATATACAACTTCCAAAACTTCTTTACAAATAGTAAAATTCATTATATACAGAAAAATTCACTCAGCAATGACAAATTCTAAGAGTCACATTTGTAACAATATCAGCTATTTTGACAAAGGGTTAAAGATAGAAATTTGTTCTCCTTCAACAGAGATTTCTTTGAACAATCTTCCAAATAGAACATGATTTCATCAAATCAAAACATTTCTTTTTCTTTTTTTTAAACTTCAACGCATTCAAAAGTGTTTAAACTATTATTTATTAAATAAGCCCAAATGCTCCTTTATGGTCAAGTATTTAACCTGTCCCATGTTGTTTCCAAGTATTTTTGCATTGACCTAATTTGACCTAACCCGTTGACCCTGAACATACTTGTTTCTGCATCGAAACGTTTTTGATACTAGATGTTGCTATGCATCATAATTTTTATATTAAAACGAACTTTT